AGAGTCCAAGTTGGAAGATGTTAAAAGATTTAGAACAAACAAATCTAGGCAAGTGATGAACTTGCATAAATGCTGAGCAACTAGAGAGAAGAGAATAGAATGGTGATAATTAGAAGGTAGAATCATTAGGACTAATTGACTCATGGGAAAAGGGGTGGGCAGAGCGAGGAAGAGATAAGAGTCAATGACAACATCCAAGTTCTGACAGGCAAAAAGAGAAACGATGTTATCATTCACTGATGATAACAATGGGGTGCAAGGTTTGGATGGGAAGATAAAAGTATGTTGAGTTGAAGTAGCACCTATGGAACATCCAAGAATGGTCTAGTAAACATATAGATATGAGTTGAGTCTGTAGCTCTAGAGAAAGAAGATGGCCTAGAATGATCCCTGAAAATCACCAACATTTAAGAGAGAGGTAAAGACATAGATACCTAACAAGATGAGCAAAAAGGCAAAATAGTATGTGGCCATGGAAATTAAAAGTAATATCTTTTTGAGAAAAACAGAAATGGTCAATAATAATATATGTTGAATGTTTCTAATGTGCTGGATATTTTACATACATAATTTAATCTTCACAACTCTATGAAGAAGATACTTAGTATTACCTACTTTTTACAGATAAAGAAATTGAGGTCAAGTAATTTGAAAAAGTTATGTCAGATTTAAAAACCTGAACTCTTAATCACAATGATATACTTCTCTATAGGAGTGATCTTCAATGTTGGGTGAAGAAAATATATGTTTGTGTATTCGATCTCATTCTTTTAAATTTCTTTACATATATAATTTAGAATTAAACCAATTAGAAGAGAACATTCTTTCTTTTCACCTGTTTTACTTCATGGAACCCAATGAAAGCCTCAATTTTAACTTTAAGGCAATTTGATTATAAGAAAGAAAACATTTAATTCTATAATTGCTGAGATGTCTGAGATTTAAAGTGATTTACATATAAATCATTAAAAAATAAACATTTGAAGAGTTGACCAGTAATAGATTTATCATTTCAAACAAATTAACACTAGCTTTATTAAAAAAAATCAAGGGAAGATATTCATATACCATGTTTCAACTTCTCTATAAGTGCTTCATTGTCATCCAACTTCAACTCGTTGACTTTATCTATCAATCCTTCAATATCACCCATACCTATAAGATCCAAAAAAGTAAAATTAACAGTAGTATACCTTTCTTTACATTATATAAAATACATGCACATACATAATAACCCTGTGAGATAGGCAGATCGGATAGTTCTATTACACTTCATAGGTGAGAAAACATAAGCTAGAGGGGTTAAGTAACAAAGCAGGGACTCCAGCCCAGAGTTTAATTTCAAATTCCATGTTCTCTAACTAGAATACCCGGAGACATTACAAAAGTTTTACTGCCATTATCACTGCTATTACTACAAACACATATTTTTGTATTGTGCTCTAAAACTTTTCCAAAGAACCTGCCATCTAATAGAGTGGTTCATTTACCACTCTAACCACAGCAAGCAAGGAATACAAATCATATAAAAAAATGATTTCCTGAACTAGTTAGTGAGAAGGCAGAATTAAAATCCTAACTTGTCCTAAATATCCATGCTATTTCTTGGAGGTTTTTCTATATCCCCATCACTGTACATACCAAGAAGTTTGCTGATGAAAGGCTGTGTTTTGAAAGGTTCAAAGTCATCTATATGTTCCCCTGTACCAATGAAAATAATTGGACTTTTTGTGGCAGCAACTCTGCAAAACGAAAGCATAAAAGGAAAACAAATTTCCACTAGATTTCAAAACTAATTAGACAGAGGTACATAGCTCAAGTTTCTGTTCACTAGTTCAAACAAAACTGTATGAGGACTCCAAAATTGTTTCTATTTAAACTTCTTTTATAGACCATATTAGGTCTACTATCGAAATATACTTTAAATAATCAACAATAAACCATGAATATTCACAAACAAATACCCCCACCCCCCGAGTCCAAGATATAGGACAAGAGCATCAATGATACTTACGCACTGAGCGCACCACCTCCTTTTGCATGGCCATCAAGTTTTGTCACTATTACTGAGGCTACATCTACTTTATCTTTAAAAGCCTTAGCCTGGGCTTCACAAGCCTGCCCAATGGAGGCATCCATCACATAAACAATGTTATCAGGTTGCTAGAAAATGTAAATAGAAAAGATACATATTTTTACTGATCTTAAACTATTTCCTCATTAGAAGCTATATAAAAATATTTATTATAAATAATAATTCATTCAATCAATAAATATTTACTAAAAGAGTACTACGTATTAGGCACTGTTAGGTCCTAAGACAAAGAGATGAATAAGAAAATCCTTGCCCCATGGGACTTACATTCTAGTCAAAGGAAACTGATAATAAATAGGCAAATAAACATTTCAGATGTACAACAATTAAAGCAGGATAGACAATATCAGTTTTGAGGTGTGGGAGGCTTCTCTAGGTAAGGTAGATCTCTCTGGCGGTAACATTTAAGACAAAGCCTGAATAAAGAGGAAAAGTTAAAGTTATCAGAAGATCTGGAAGAATCACATTCTAGGCAATAGGGACTAGCAAAAGTAAATCAGAGAAAAATCGAAAGTAGAAGAGTGTACACTAAAACCAAAATGAATAAAATATAGCTGAGGCTATTTACCTTGGCTCTTCTCAACTAAATGAAAATAATGGCATAACTAAAAATAAACTTATTAGCATTAACCAAAGAATTATTGCCACTACCCCAAAACATGGATTCATAATATGTGCTTCTCCCCAAATTATTCCCATTACAGTTTGAGACACTAAATGATTATTTTAAAATGCTTCATTTTGAAAATCTTTGAAAATTCATCTAAAATAAACATTTCTTATTTAATTTAAATATTTACTGAAAGGAAATTCAGTGGTTATTAAAGGTTAATTCTTAAATTTTTTGTTTGTTATTTTTCTCATATATACTAAGATGAATAAGTGAAAAAAGAAATTATTTTTTTGATACTTGCTCATGAAAATTTCATCCTTAATGTAGAGAAGATTAAGTCTTTATCATACAGACAGAGGTGCCCAAAACAGAAATAAATCACTCAAAATCTGTCCTATAGGCAAAAAATAACATATAATTAAATTAACCAAAGTCTTTATAATGTTAAATTGAAAGCTACTTACTATAGCATTAGCAACTTGAAGCATTTCTTCAAACAAAGAGTCTTCCTGTTTATGACGGCCACTTGTATCAACAATAATAATTTCAAAATTTTCATTTTTGAATTTCTCCACTCCTTCAGAGGCAATGATAACAGGATCCATTTCTGTATAGCTATTTAACATGGACAAACGACTTAACAATAATCACAATAGCAAAACTTCCAAATACTAATAATTTTGAAATTGTGACTATACCTTTTACCTATTCTGGAAAAGTCATAATGATCTCAATTTCAATTTAGAAAAATAAAATCTAATAAGGATTAAATATAACAATTTACTTCTAGATCAGCATGAAGCAGCATCCAGCCTTCCAATTACAAATCCTGTATGATTCTGCTGCATGTCTTTTCTGAATGAGTTGTGCTTTCCTCAATTTTTTAAATTTTCTTTAATAGAGTAATTGAACTTGTATTACCTAGTATTTCACACATGCTTTTCCATTTAATACCCTTTTGTAAACATTTTATAAAACAATTAAATATTCTTGTAAAACACAACTGTTAGGCTATTCAGCATTCCATCAGATGGCTATGCTAGCATTTATTCAATAAATGCCCTACTGTTTAAGGATTTTCCAATTTCTTGGTATTAAAAATATAGCCAATATGAAATATAAGTAATATTATTTCTTCGTAATTGTTATGACACACTCCTACAAGTTGAATTTGGATCAAATGGTCTGATCATTTAGACTTTTGGTTTTTAAAAGGAAAATGTCCTCCCACAAAAGTTTAATTTCATTTCTATTTCATTACATTTTTATAATCCTCAAAAATCTATTCAACTTGAAAATCAAGAAATGAGATTGTATTTTAATTTGTAATCTTTTGATTAGTGGTAACTTTTTTTTTATAAAGAGCAGTACTGTCAAATGAAAAGACATATAATGGAAAGAAAATGTTTTTCCCTTAGATTAACAACAATCGGAAATACACTAAATTAAAATATGTATGAGATTTAAATGAAGAAAAGTACTTAAGAACATAAAATTTTTTGACAAAAAAGACAAAGCAGGTTCCTAAATGTAACTATATAAATACAGTAAAGATATCAGTTCTCTCCTAAATTAATTGATTTCAATGTAGTTCCAATCAAAATCTTAGGGACATTTTTCTTTTTGTAACTTAATAGAGAATCCTCAGATTTAACCACGGAAATAAGCTGGTGAGATCAGGCAAGAATATGTTGAAGATGATTATTATCAGATATTTTTAAATATGATAGACACAAAATTTATAAATGTGCAAAGAAATATGATCAAAGATGTTCATAAGGGGATTAATTATATATGTGCATGCAATAGAATACAATGATGTCATAAAAAAGAATGACCTTAAACAGTATATTGTCTATTATATAATTATTAAGATCCCATTTTAAGTAATCATTTTAATGAAGTATAACATATATAGAAAAGTTGCACAAATTATAAACTCAGTGAGTTTTCACAAAGTAAACACACTCAGATCAAGAAACAGCATAACCTCACTCCCTCCCAAGAATAATCACTATCTTTTCATATCCCATTTTTAATCAACTCTATAGTGGTATATTCACATACAATAAAATGCACTATTTTAAAAGTTCATTTTGATGAGTTTGACAAATTTACACAACCCATATTAACCACTACCAAAGCAATCAAGGTAGAAGCACTAAAAGATTCCATTTCAATTTATGATTTATCTATCTATCCATCTATCTATCTATCTATCTATTTATCTATCTATCTTTTTATACATATATCTGTGTTTATTTGTGTAGCCGTAAATGCACAGATAGACATGCTAAAAACCGGTAATGGGGAAGTGAAACTGTTAGTGCTTTCACTTCTTTAAATTTTTTAATTAAAAGTGGTTTTTTTAAAAAAAGACAGGATAAATAGCATAACAGTTCTATATCTACCATCCTCCCAAAATGCTATATGTAAATTTGACATTGCAGATACAGTTCAAGTCCTTCCCGAGCTTTAGTCTCTTTAGCTCTCGCAGAGGAAACAATGCTAATACTTTAGTCCACATAACGTTTTATATGTTTTTTAAGTTTACATGAATAAAGGAGATTATTTAATAAATGATATTGAGAATACTGGTTAAAAATTAGTGCTCTGACTTTGGCCAATAGTTCAAGTAATTATCAGCTACATTAATCATTTGCAAATTGTGAACCCTAAAGATATAACTTTGTTATCCCTTGATTTTTACATCTGTATTAGAAAGAGTTCCTATCCTAAAAATAAAATTCCTAACGTTATTCTTTAATCTGCCTGTCAGAAATAATCTTAAAAAAATAAATAAATAAAAAATTTTAAATAAAAAAACCTATAACAGCCAAAGTTCACTAGCTTTCTTGGCCAGCCAAAAAGTAAAAGGTAATGATTAACAAAATATCATATATTTAATTACCTCAAATTTTTGTCTCTTTAACCTTTCTTCCTGAGGGTATAATAAACCAATTACTTTAATAATGCTAAGAAAAATGCTATTCCCTCAAACGAGTCCTTCTAAATTCAATCTAGACTCATTTCTTTTAATTAGTCATTCTAACATATACAAACTACCTGAACAGCAATATATCAAATGAAGGATAGCAATAATGAGAATCTCTACCTGAGATAACTACAGATTATAAGCCATTTTAGGATGATCAAACTTTTAAAATGATGTACTCAAGAAAAAGACAGTATGGAATTCACCACTGTATTTAATCAAGGAATGCTTCATATAGGTCTTAAAAGAAACAGCAAGAATAGAGAAGCAGAAAAAGTTCAGAAAGCATGCACAGAAGGATGATAAGTATAGGCAGAATTAAAAACTAAACAGTGTCTACTTTGATCAGGCTGAATCATGTTATAATAATAAAAAATAACAATTTATTAATTATATCTACTTTGTTCCAGAAAGGATTTAAGCTTATAAGTATATATTAAAATGTGACCAGATAGAATGAAATAAAAAAAAAATACACAAGATGAGGCACTGAGTATCAAAATAAAAAATAGAAACCCACCTTCCATAGAATGGAATTCTTGCTTTAGTAGCATTCTGTTTTAGTTGGTCAAAAGCCCCTACAAGATAAAGAGTCAATGAGTCCTCAAACTTGAAAATAAAAATTACAGAAAATAATTTTAAAATTCTAACACATTACCTGCTCTGAATGTGTCTGCACATATTAAACAGGTCTTCCAACCTTTCCTCTGATAATAATATGCTAACTGGGAAAGAAAGATTTTAAAAATGTAATATCAATAAATACAAATTATTATATATAATTTTTTGTTTACCTTGTTATTTACTAAAAGGTAAAATAGAACTACTCATATTCTCCTAAAAGTAATATTATTAAATTTTTGAATACAGCAAATTTCCTAAAGTTTAAATTCTAACTGCCATACAATCCCATTAAAAGGATATAAAATGATCAAGCAACAGATGACTGTAGTAAAAAATGTTAACTATTATCAATGTAAATTAAAAATAAATGATAAAAAAAATAACATAATCCTCTAAGAAATAATTGTTTTTTTCTAAACTATAACATAGTTGAGGCTTGTGAAACAAAATGTGGTAATAAAGTTGAGGCACCCAATTCTGGAGGAAAGGGTGGTATAATAATTAAAAATTAGCACAAAGATATGCAAAATGAAGATCTATATTATGCTGGGTAGGATATTATGAAAAGGGAGTCTTGAGCCATAGGAGATAAGGTAAATTTTCCATGTTTTTTCCTCAAAAAATCATATACTCACTTCCTTAAAGGACAGGAATGGTCTTTTCGGTAAAAGAATAACATAGTTATATAGAACTCTCCCATTCTCACAAAAAACAATCACAAGAGAGGCTATGGGATTTCTTCTTATCCTACAAAAAGCTATTACAAATATATAATAGATACATGAAGTTAACACAAAATTGTAAAGCAACAACACGATGAAGCCTGGTTTAGCATAAAACTTGATCTATACAAACGTATCTTCTCCATGACTTTTTTTAAAATTAAGCATAATTTACCTTTGAACATGTTGTAGTTTTACCACTCCCTTGCAATCCAACGAACATGATCACATTCTGTTTTCCTTTAGTGGGTGTCCATGCTTTAACTCCAGGGTCTACAAGCTATATTCCAAAAGTAAAATAAAAATGAAATCAGGTTAACATATGCTTACATTCAAAACTTTTAAATTATAAAAATAATTTAAGGACATTTGGTATAAAAGCCAACCATAATTCTCCATTCTAATACAACTCTATTTCCCTTTGTACATACATAGTAAAATTTAAGAACTTAAAATAATGTATTGTGAAGTCATAAACTAGCCTATAATTCCAATCCAATTCAGAAACATTTTTAGAAAAAACTAGAGTATAAATAAAATGTGAGACCAAGTTTGAGCCAAAGGAGCAATCTACATCAGCACTACAGAAATATAAAAATATGTATACAGGTCACATATGAATTTTTAAATTTCTAATAGTGACATTAAAAAAACAAAAATAATTAATATTTATATTAATTTTAATACTTAACCCAATATAGCCAAAATATTAACATTTCAATATGCAGTTTACATTTAAAAATTATAAGGTATTTTATATCCCCTTTCCCCACACTAGGTCTTCAAATTTGGCATGTATTTCATACTTATAGCTCACCTCAATCTGGACTAGCCATATTACAAGTGCTCCATAACCACATGTGGCAAGTGGCTACAATACTGAGACCGCATACTGAGACACACCTATCTTTATGTTAAATCTGACCAATGTTTATGTATAATCAAAATTACAAATTACATGTGAAATACTTTCCAATGTCAATTCTTCAAAGCCAAAGATCTACTGTTCTATAAAGTTATAAAGGGCTAGTAAAAAATAATCTCCAATTTTATAATGACAATCAATGGAAAATTAAGGTTCATATATGGACAGTCCCCGGACTTACAAGCAATGAGGAATTTTTAAAGTGAGGAATTTTTAAAGTTCATTTTAAAAAGTAATTGATTTGCAAGTCAGTTGTTTGGAGCTTGAACATGTATCCCCATATGATAAAAGCCATAATAATAGTTAATGTCCTAGACCAGAAGTTGGCAAACTATGTGTATATAAAGCTTTAATGGAATATAGCCACACCCATTCATTTACTGCTTTTGTGCCACATGAGCAGGGCTGAGTAGTTTCAAGAGACCATATGGCCCACAAAGCCTAAATTATCTAATTCTTAAGAGAAAGTTTGCTGAATTTCTTTTTTCATTAGTGTATAGGACTAAACTGAAATGACATAACCATCTGAGATACTAGACTTTTTCAAAGTACCAATCAGCTCTGCTAGAACCAATGAAGTGAATTAAACTATTCATACAACATAAGAAAAAATACTAAGAGAACACTAGCTGGCATCTGTTGCTCTCAAAAAAAATACTTTTTATAGCTTCTTCCTTTTTTCCCCCTATCATTTGACCCATACATATTTTTTAAAGCTCTAAGATTTTCACCATAATTTTCATGACATCAGCAGCAATATCAGTTCTAAGGTGAGATAGGACAATAGGCTCTACTTACCACTTGCAAAATGAAACTTGGCTAATTCAAAATTGCTCATAATCTAGGCAAGAATAGGGATATCTGGTCTTTCAAAGAGAATTCTGCACACAATGAACAGTGTGGAAAACAACACTTGCCCAAAGTGACTTTCTGTACAAAAGTAGGAAATTCAATAGGCAAAACTTAATATTAACTTTTTGTAAGTTGGCTTTGGCCTTTTTTGCAGGAATAATAGTGGCTTTCATAGCTGTATTCAGAACTTTGTACTCAGAAAAGTCTATAATAAAAATGTCACTTTAGAAAAGTTAATAATCTTTCAATTAATATTGTTAATATAGATGAATATGCTATAAAAACATTAAAAAGTATTCTGAAATAGTATTCCTGTTTGTTATTATCCATTGAGTCTACAGAGAATCATAGTATAATCTTGATATACTTTTACCTTCACAAGTTCTTTAAATACAGCATGCTGAATCATTTTTCTTTTGTTAAGACCAGATGCCATCTCTTCAAGATCAATGGCAGACCTTCATAATAATGGTATTTGGGGGTAGGAGGGAAAAAAGCCAGTTAAGACACTCGAAAAAAGAAGTTTCTGCCCCAAAGGCTATAAGAATATTTAATCATTCGTATTAATAGCTTTCTAATTAGCATGCATATAATTACTACAGACTCAAAAATCTATACCATAAAGAATTTACCATGAAATAGTAAATGCAAGGCTTTGGTTCGTTTTTCAAGGCTTTTTTTTTTTTAAGTCTAAATATTAACTTATCCTCATATCACTGCAAAGTATTAATTTTAGTTATTTTTCTTGCAGCATATATACTTTATATATCTTTACACCTAGCAGAAAATAAGACTACTTTCTCTAGTTCTAAATGCTTAAATGCCATTAGTTCTACATTACCCGCTCTGATAATATGAAAAGGAAGGATGGCCTGAGAGCATGACACAGCTAGGATTCGAGCAATTAACTGATGTGCCTATAGTACTCTATGTGCCCTGCCCCAGTCAGTGCCTCTCCCACTGAACACAATAACTGAGACCACACACATTACTCCTTCATTCAAATATGGATGGAGAAACCAAAAGGGGAACAAAAAGGAATACAATTCTCTAATAATGAAGAAGACTAATTATAATGCCATCTTAAACCTGAAAAGGATCAAATGGTGCCACTTTTCTATAAAGAATCTGAATTGTTAAAAGGCTTTTATATTAAAATACCATACAGTATATGACTGAATCTATCCAAATATAGTATTAAAATGGAAAGAAATCCATAATTAAATGAAAGCCACATGTAGTTTATTTTTTGAACCATCATTATGAAAACATACTATACACGCAATCTTCCAACATATGAGTTCTATTCTTTTACAGTGCTGTACAAAAGAAATGTTTCATGATATAGCAGACGTTTCTAGTTAACTCCTCATCCCAATAAACTAAATTTAGTTTTGCCTGTTTTTTATCTAATTAATTTAACTTACTTTACATTTTCTCTTAGTTGCTTCACTAGCTTAATATTAACATCTGCTTCCAATAATGCTGTACATACTTCTTTTAGCATAGCATTTAATACCTGCAAATAAATAATTGAATAAAAATTTAAAATGCTCAGTGTATCATTTCAATCATATAAAAACACTGGTTCATCAGTCATCATATACTACCATAGCTTAATAAAGACAACACTACACTACTGGGAGAACAAAAGGTTTTTCAGTTAGCCTTAGAAAGAGCATCTTATTAAATGTCTAGTCATTTTGTCAAAATAAGACATTCCATTTAGTTTTATTCAACTAAGTATTAATTACCACGATTTTATTCCTATATTAAAGCAATAATAATAAAGACAATATACAAGCCAAATAAAGTTACTATACACATTGCCAAAGATGTTTTCTATGTCACTGAACACCTGCTGTTGATACACAGGACTTTATATTCCCAATATCTGCTTAATTAGACTACTAGGCAAGAAAATGTAACAAAAGAAAACGACCCAGTCTGATCTAAAGTCTCACTATTTCCACCTGGAGCAGAGAAACAAAGTGAAAAGGAAACTATCCTCCACTAATAACTATCATCACATATTTGTTGAGTGGCAAGACACTGTGGTTAAAAGATCATAAACTACAGTCTTAAGAAAAGATGAGGCTTTTGCTGCTCATGTAAATAGTTTACACACTAGAATGTAAGCTCCACAAGGACAGGAATTTTAGTCTGTTTTGTTCAGTGCTATATTCCTGGTGCCAACAAAAATGTAGGCCCTCATACATTTCTTGAATGAATTCTCATCTTCAAGTCACTTCACATGTCCTACAGAGAATAATCAGATTTCCCTATCCCTCATTAAAGGAGTCTGATAAAAATGAAGCTGATCTTTCATTAGAGGGATTTTTCCTTATTAATTCCCTACCAGCACAGTGCCAAGAACAGAGAAGCTGCCAATTCAAGCAACAGCTGTTATTCTATTTCCCACCAAGCTTTTCTCCCTGGTTCCTTTTTCTCTACTATAAACACAAACAGCAAAGAGTTACACAGGGAAAAATGTTGAGAAAGCTGTTTTATTTATTCTGAGTTCCGAAGACTAAACAAGATTTGTTATGATTATTTAACAATAATTAGAAAAAGCCCTGGATGAGGAAATAGAAAAAAAGATTCCAACCCTGGCTCTTCCAATAAATAAACACATGAAACTCTCTGTTGCTATTAAATGAGGCTGGACTAGCCAAGGTCAAAGATGGTCCCAAAATTATTTAACCATTGGCTTATTAAAGTGTTGATATCAAATTCTGTATCAGAATTTTTTTCTTAAACCTCCAAGTTAGAAAGTACTTTTTAGCTATTATCTCATTTGATCCTTAAGACCACTTTGTAAGGTAAATGCTATTTTCTCATTTTATACATTGAGGAATCTGAAGTTGACCTGCTCAGATTTTAATAACACAACTACTAAATGGAATACTAAATAGTCTTCTAAAACCAAATTCAGTACTTTTGCATTGGTACCACAAAACAGAAAGTATACTTGTGGCCTATAATCATCTCTTTTCAATTCATAAACCATTAAGATACAACATGTGGGGGAAAAATGGGAAAAAGAAATATCTTAAACTTAAAACAATAAAGCTAGGTGGAAGAGTTATGTCAGATACCATGTAAGAAGTCAACTTACAAAATCTCCAAAACACCGAATGAGTTCATAGAAAACGAATCAAAGTAGCCAAGATGAAAATACTGGCCTTTTATAAAAATGCTAAATAAAAGTCAAAGAGAAAAGGTCAGGTACACACATGCCTACCCAAGAGGAAAGAAGCAGGATACTGAAGTTTTAGGCCTATGTCAAGAAAGAAAGCAAAAGTGTATTTCCACATCTAAGGCATTTTCAAAGTATAAAATGTTAGTCATTTTTACATGTAAGTTAAGGTTTCATTTTGTAGAAAGTTGAAATTAATAGTCAACAATAAAAAACATTACCTAGTGTATCTAGTTTTAGGTTTTTACCTACAGATAAAACAGTCTACATCAAAATAAAAATAAATATAGAGATTACTTATAATCCAGCTCCCCAATGCTAGTGATGATGTGCCATCACATATACTTCACATACACTTCATTTTACAAACCTCTTCATTGATAATGGTGGCATTGCTCAATGAGCGTAATGCTGATGTTATTTTTCTTCCAAGATCTGCTAGTACCATCTTGAAGGCTTTAAGACGTGATTATAAGAAAATCTAGGAAGGAAAAAAATGTAAACAAAAACATGTGAAAACAATCAATACCAGTTCCCGTAATTGTAGACTTCTAAAGAAGAGTATTTAAGTTCAAATTAAAGTACTCTAGCGTTTACAAACTATAACTTCAACTTCTTTAGTCTCAACCTACAGCCTCAAAAGTCAAGTCCAAAAGCCTGCCAGCCTTCAGACTGGAACTACACCACCAGCTCAGCTCTCCTGGGTCTCTATCTTGTCGACTCTCCCTGTGGATCTTGGGACTTGTTAGCCTCCAGGATCACATGAGCCAATTTCTCATAATAAATCCCTTTTTCTATATGTGTGTACACACACACACCCTCCAATATTGGTTCTGTTTCTGTGGAGAACCTTAACTAATACCAGTAAAGTACTAGTTCAAAGCTAGCAATAAAAGTTTATGGTCAATTGCCAATGATATTCCTGTAAAAATTCAAAGGAAGAAAAAAGTAGACAGAATAGGCTTTATTGAGAAGGTTGAATATGAATTTGATCCTGAAATATGGGTAGAAGTTGGATAGGTAGAGAAGAGGACAAAAGGGAATTTGAAGAAGGTTAAACAGCATAAGCAGAAATGGAGACATGGAAAAGCCTGGGACAAATTTGTATCTTATGTATGCATTGTACTTATGGATTGTTGAGTATTATTTGGGGGACAATAAATAAAAAATTCTGGCTAGGACAGAGGGCTATATAGTTAGAAGGAAATACAGGTGGTAAAAAGCTCTAAAAACCAGGTTAAGAAATACCAACCATTCAATATAGCGATATTGGCAGAAAAGTTCATTGTTCAAAAAAACAGTTTTGACAACTCTTCCAAGCTAACCTAGTCTAATTCAGTCAACCTAGATTATCTAGACTAGGTACATCCTATCTATAGAGTATAGAAGAGATTAAAAATGAGAGGAATAGGAGGATAAAAGAGCTGATTCATTCAACATAGGGAAAGTGTAGAGATGAGAAGAATCAAAAGAAAAAGAAAGGAAAAATGTACTCAAGGACCAATCACTGGCAAAGATAGTCCAGGCTGAGCTCTAAATTAAAACCTACCCTTCCACTCAGGTAGAATTTCATAATTTAGAACCTAGAAACTTACTACCAATACTTGACAGACCAAAATAAAAGTGCTTACCATATATTTTTACAATCACATGGTTACTTTAGAGAGCAACTACTTCATAGAAAAGATCCAGAACTACTTATTTCTTATCCCATATTCATTATGTTAATTATTGCTTAAGTAAATATTCTTCAGGTAAGAAATAACATTCAGATGTTTCAGTTCATTTTCTTTACTACTGTTACCAGGATTGATATAATCCTAATTATGACACCACAATTAACTTTTTTAGAGATCATGTCATAAACAGATCATCCTCCATTTTAAAAAGCTTTACTAGTTAACTCTTAAAAATAAACCTACCTTCCTAGGTTGACTGGCTATTTTAAATTAAAAAAACTTAATTTTTCCGATACATTTTTCCTTATGAAAGTATTTATTGGCAGTATATTTTTTAATATATTTGACTGATTACAAAAATCTGCACTTCGGGTTTTTATAAAATAATATTTAATAATACCTTTTATTTATATAGTGTTTCCTCAACAATTTCCAAGGATGTGCTTCTGAAAACTCTGGTGTTAGAATTCTGCTCAAAACCACAATGATTTCCCATTTCGTGCAGAGGTAAAGTCCTTATAACAAAACGTAGGTACCCCCAAATACACACCCCCTTCCCTTCTCCCCCCAATCTCCCCTCTCCTTCCCTTTCCCTTTTCCTTATATTGTTTGTGGTCTATAGGCCCCAATTGAAATGTAAGGTGCATGAGGGCAGAGATTTTTGCCTCTTTTGCTCTCTGTGAGCTCACTGCTTTATCGTCAGTCTTACACAGTAAGCCCTTAGTGAAAACGAACTTTATGAATGAATGGTAGGTGTATTTAAGATCTCAGGGAAAAAGCAAGACTAGGGAACCAAAGACATTAAAGGCTTTACAAATAAAGGCCACTAAAACAAACCAATGAAGATAATGTCACAAATCAGAAGAAAAATCACTGACCTAGGTAACTGATATTGTACAATTAATAATTCATTTGCCATTACTTGAAAATCACAGTGTTGTACACCTGAAACTAATATAATATTGTATGTCAACTGTAATTGAAAAAAAGAACATCAATGACCTAGGTAACTGATATTATACAATCAATATCCATTTCCCATTACTTATTAAAACTTTTCAGAATTTCCCTAAAAAGAATTTCCAACAAATTCTGAAAAACTAACTTCACCTTATTCTAATATGCACACTAAAATTCAAAACATCTTTTTAAACGTTAATAGCTAACTGTGTCTCAAACTAGAGTAATTTACAATTCAAGCACACTCGAAATTTTCTAGGCTAAATAGATTTATAGAAGTAAATCTGTGTATATTAGAATTTCATAAAAAAGGAATCTTTACTTAGATGGGGCTGTTGAAAAGGGATTACTGTATAGTTAGTACTTCATACGGTTTAACAGCTATTATTCCACCCTCACAACAATTTTATGATATAAGCAGGGTGAGAAATGGAACGGCCAGTCTCTACCAAAAAAAAAAAAAAGCAAAATGATTTCCCACAATCCCTTGGCTACACAGCTTTAGGTCCTAGAGGTATGAATGATGATTTAAACAACCCAGTTGAATATCATTGTGGACAAACTCCAGGGACAACTTTTGCTGCTATACTACAAGGGAGGAAATCATATTTTGAAAGCAAAAGATGTACATTCCTCCTCACGGAAGAGTAATTGCAACATTCAGAAAGAACTGATAAGTATCACTGCAATCAGGATGTACAAGGACTGATCTTGGCCCAAGTCACATGTTCTTCTAACAGGAGTCTGACTAGGAGTTGGATAGTGAGATGATGGAAACAGGCTCAAGTGTGGGGTGCCCTAAGTAAGGCATACACAGGGCCAAGTATCATACTTACCTGCTGTAGTGTGAAGTACTGGAAAGAGCATGGGCTTTGGAATCTGACAGACTTGAATTCAAATCCCAGCTCTGCTACATACTGGCTGTGTTACTTTGGGCAAGTTACTTAATCTCTCTGAGCCTCACTTTCCTCACCTGCAAAATGGAGATAACACCATTATCAAGGTAGTTACCCTGAAGGGCTGTTGTGAGGATTAAATGAGACAATGTGTTTAAAACTGTCTGCAAGTGCCTAATACATTAACTATTAACTTCCTTTCGTGAATGATACCTCCCTGTATTATCTGAACTGTGAGTAAACTGGAAATTTTCTGAACAACCCTACTAAAGTGCCTGTCCCATTACCCAGGAACCACCCCAGGAATCTTTAACATGTACCTGGTTATTTTTTTTAATTAATTTTTTCAATTACTGTTAACATTCAATATTATTTTATATTAGTTTCAGGTGTACAGCATAGTGGTTAGATATTTGTGTACCTTATGAAGGATCCCCCGATTAGTCTAGTACTCACCTGGCACATAGTTATTACAATATTAACTCACATAGTTATTACAATATTACTGGCTATATTCCTTATGCTGTGCTTCACATCCCTGTGACTATTTGCAACTACCAATTGTACTTCTTCCTCCCTTCATCTTTTTTACCCACCCCTCACCCCCTACTCCCATCTGGCAACCATCAGTTTGCTCTCTGTATCTATTAATATGTTTCCATTTTGTTTGTTCATTTATATTGTTCATTAGATTCCACATCTAATTGAAATCATATGGTATTTGTCTTTCTCTGTCTGACTTATTTCACTTAGCATAATACCATCTAGGTCCATCCATGCTGTTGCCATTGGTAAGATTTCATTCTTTTTTTATGGCCAAGTAATATTACACTGTATGTATGTACTACTTCTTCTTTATCCAATCTCCTATTGATGGACACTTAAATTGCTTTCATATCTTGGCTATCATAAATAATGCTGCAATGAACATAAGGATGCATGTATCTTTTCAAATTAGTGTTTTGGGTTTCTTCAGATAAATACTCAGAAATGGAATTGCTGGATCATTAATTAGTTCTATTTTTAATTTTTTGAGGAACTTCCATACTGTTTTCATACTGGCTACATCAACTTGCAATCCCACCAACAGTGCATGAGGGTTCCCTTTTCTCCACACCCTCGCCAACACTTGTTTGTTCATTCATTAATGATAGCCATTCTGACAGGTATGAGGTGATATCTCACTGTGGTTTTAACTTGCATTTCTGTGATGATCAGTGACACTGAACATCTTTTCAAATGTCTATTGGCCATCTGTACGTCTTCTTTGAAGAAATGTCTGTTCAGGTCCTTTGCCCAATTTTTTAATTGGATTGTTTGGATTTTTAATGTTAATCTGTATTAATTCTTTATGTACCTAGTTATTATTCAATAGAAGCTAGAGTGTCCAGCCACTTTTTTCCACAAAAACAATTATAAATATTCCTACCAGAACCTTGCCTGAGCTGAGATTATATAAACAGATACTAATGATAAAGATTTCAAATCTTATTACAGTCATGTGCCACAAAATGTTTTAGTGAACGAAAGACTGCATATACTATGGTGGTCCATAAGATTATAATAAAGCTAAGAAATTCCTATTGCCTAGTGACATCATAGCAGTTGTAATACTGTAATACAACATATTACTCACATGTTCTTGGTGATGCTGGTGTTTATAAAGTCCACAGTAGTTAACAGGAATGTCCTAGGCCTTCACATTCACTCACTACTCACTCACTGACTCACCCAGAGCAACTTTCAGTCCTGCAAGCTCTGTTCATGTTAAGTGCCCTATACAAGTGTACCATTTATCTTTTATACCATATTTTTACAGTACCTTTTCTATGTTTAGATATATAAATACCTACCTACCATGTGTTACAACATTCACTACAGTAAAATGCTATACAGCTTTGTAGCCTAGAAGCAATAGGCTATACCATCTAGCCTAGGGTTATAGTACCATCTAGGTTTGTGAGTACACTCTAAGATGTTCACACAACAACGAAATAGCCTAACAACACATTTCTCAGAATGTATCCCAACTGTTAAGTGGTGCATAATTGTACAAAGAATATCCCTATAGAAAAGTTCTCCTAAGCTCTAGTTAGTGACTAATTTATTGGATCAACATTAGACTAAAGAAGTAAATATACAAATACATTATATTAGTAAATATCTTTAGAAAAATCACTTGTATATTATATACTTTTCTATAAACTAGTCAATAGCCCAAACCATACTTACTTTTCCTGACTAAAAATATATTTTTAAAAATTCTGCACAGCATGTGTATAGATAGTCTAGGACCACAGAAAAGTAAATCTATTTAACAAAGTGGCCTAAAGGTATTTTATTTGGTAAAACTATTATATTTGAATAACTAATATTATAACATTAATTGTGACTTTTAAATTTAGGGATACTTTTTTCCATTTTGAATCTACTTAGTCCTCCAAGGAAATAATTCATCTTTTTGTTTTGTGATTACAAAAGGACACATGTTCACTGTAAAAATTCAAAAATTATAGAAATATTAAAGGTAGAAAATATAATTCCCTTAATCCTAACCTCTCTTATTCCCTGATAACCACCAGCGATATTTGGTATATTTCCTATAGATTTTATTTTCTATAAAATTGCATATATTATATATTCCATATTTTGTCTCCAAAAAAAAAAAAAATCCAAAAAATGACATTAGCCACCAGGGTACAATCAGATTCCTCTTCACACACACTACTAGGCGGCTATAACCAAAAAGACAGATAATAATGAGTGTTAGTGAAAATGTGGAGAAATCGCAACCTTCATACACTGCTGGTAGGAATGCAAAATAGCGTAGTCCTTTGGAAAAGTTTGGCAATTCCTCAAAATGTTACACATAGAGTTACTTTATAATCCAGCAATTGAACTCCAAGAGAAAGGAACACACACATCCACACAAAAGCTTGTACATGAATGGTCATTAGCAGCATTATTCATACTAGCCAAAAAGTGGAAACAACCCAAATATCCTTCAACTGATGAGTTGATAAAATGTAGTCTATCCATAAAAATGGAATATTATTTGATAATAAGAAGAAAGAAAGTACTGATATATGCTACAACACGGACAAATCTTGAAAATATCATGCTAAATGAAAAAACAAAGTGACAAAAGACGATATATTATAAGCTTCCATTTATGTGAAATGTCCAGAAGAGACAAATCTATAGAGACAAAGTATAATAATAGTTGCTTAGGGCTTGGGAGTTTGGGGAAAATGAGGACTGATTATTAATGGTGATGGAGTTTCTTCATGGAGTGATAAAAATATTCTAAAATTGTGATTATGGTTGCACAACTCTGTAAATAAACTAAAAACCACTGAATTATACACTTCAGGTGAACTGTATAGTATATATATTTTATTTCAGTAAAACTGTTAGAAAATAATATCTGCCATCTCTGAATAGTGAATAACTAGTTTTTATTTTCTTATCTTTTTGTAATTTCCAAAGTTTTGGTAATGATTAAGAGTATTATTTTTAAGTCAAGGGGAAAACTATTTTTCAAAGTGCTCCTTGTGAGAATTAGAGTGATATTATAACAGGGATTCAGATGGAGTTGCCATTTGTATTCATTTAGTTATTCATTCATTAAACACCTACTAAGTGCTCTAGGAATTGTCCCGGCATGAGAAATTTCTAACTCCAAATCAACAAATTACATCAGTTTAACACAGACAAGACTCTGTTCACTGCAAAAAATAAATTACGTAGCATACCACCACTGACTTCTCTTTAATTCTGCACAAAAGGTTCTACTCAATTATGTCAAGAAATATCAGGAAATTCTTTCTTCATTAAAATAATTGTTTTCAAATTTTAAAACTAATTTTAACGTTAAAAATAAAACCACTGCAACACTTCATAGTTTAACAGCAGAAAAGGTCCACCAAAAATTCTATTACCAATAAGGGGTAATAATAACTCAAAAACACTAAGAATCATTTCTTTAAAATACTTTTGGCTGTCAGGTCAATCATAAAAAGAAGCTTTATATAAACTGTTACCAAAAAAAAAAATTAAAGTCAAAAAAATTCCTTGGAAGTAGTTTGCATTGAATTTGAAAAGAACATATATAAGAGGAGGGATAAGAGGCATATGCTCGAGCAATGGGTTATTTCAATGATGTTCTGGTAACAACTATCAGCTAAAAATTAAATACTCAATCAGAATCTCCAAGGATGGAAACATCAGAAGGTTTTCAGGGAAGTGGCCTCATCTAAATTCTTGAAAAGCAAAACAAGGCAAATATATTTTGAAAAATTCACTGGCTATATTGATGGGCAGTCAGGTTTAATAATCACTGCATGAAGGGAATGATTATTAAAGAAAACAAGAGAATGAAAAATCTGTACCATGGTATAAAAATTAGAGACAATGTAGCAAATACATTAAAGGGAGAAAAACTTGAAAGCAAGGAGACTACATACACTAATCATACCCCCATAATCTGGTCCAGAAATGTGGGCTTGAACTAGGGAAGCAAAAGGCAAAATGGGGTCAAAAAGGGCTGGAGCCAAGAGCTAACCCTTAAAGCAGAATCTATAGGACCTAACGATGGTTCTGGAGAATTAAGGAGAAACAGAAGGCAAAAATGACTCCGAGGCCTCTAGTTTGAATAACCAGATGGCTAGTGATGCCATTAACCAATGAATGGAAGGCAAAAAGAGAAGCTGCTCTGAAAGTTGGAGTTAATAGAGAAAAAGGTTCAAGGAGTTTAAAGGTTATTTATAATGTCCTACTGAAGTTGGATATTGAGTATATAGGTGTGCATTTTATTAGCCTTTTTAAAATTGAACAAATAATACAAAATTCAACTAGAAACGAGTTAAAACTAAAAAACACACTGAGTATCACTGCTTTTATATACTTTTCTATCTATGATATAGGTAATAATGAAAAAGGGGGAAAAGGAAGGTGGAGATAGTGAATTTGGTTTTGGATCTATTGAGTTTTCATAACTAAAGAACTATATCACTCATGAGACAGAAGCGAGAGAAAAAGGTTTGGAAATGGTTGTCATACAAGGATAATGCTGCGGAAACCATGGATGACAACTCTCCCGGAGTTTGTGGAAGACTCATTTGGGTCATAGCAATGATGAAGGGCCAACTAAAAGGAGAATGTCAACTAAGACTGAGAATAATCAAAAGGATAGAAGCTTTGACTAATTCCCTTTCCCTCTCCAAAAGAAATCAACTAAAACGAGTAAAAGCTACCATTTATGGCTATCTTCCTATATTCCCATGACAAGTCCAGAATTTCCAGATAGCCGGAGTTAGAGGAGTAATCTGTTTGAAGGAGGGCTTGAAGATGCACAATACTTATATATTAAGTATGAAAATACTAATTGTCCATATCAAAAAATCGAGAGAAAGAGGTTTGCGAGAAATCTTTCCCCTCCCCTTCAGGACCACCACTGCTATCCTCCAGGCTTTGCACCAAAATACGTCACTTAATCTTTCAATCCTCATACCTTTCTTTTAAAATTTTAATTAATAAACTTTATTTTTTTAGAGCAGTTTTAGGTTCACAGCAAAACTGAGCAGAAAGTACATAGTTTCCATATACTCCCCGTACCCACGAATGCACAACCTCTTTCACTATCAACAACCTCATATCTTTCATCCTCAAAATAATCTTATTAGGAAGTTTAGGAAACTGAGGCTAGATTGGAATTGCAACTTGCTGAGGGTCACAAATCACCTGTAATTCTCATCTCTGTTCCCATAGCTCTTCGCTCTTTATACCTTACTAGAGTTTCTCATTACCCATCTTGATATAATGTATATTCATGTGCCTCTCTCTCACTGTACTGTTACCTCCCCAATGACTGGATTTGTGTCATTCATTTCTGTACCCCTATAGCTAAGAATGAGTAAACATTTTTCTTTTTTTTTTGTTGTTAAACTAAGCATATGAAAGAACTAGGTGAGAATAGCATCAAGAACGTCAATGAGGTAGAGTTTCAAGGAATGGATGGTCAGTAGTGTCAATACTACAGAGAGCCATCAATACATCTTAAAGTCATCATTGGCATTGAATCGATATTCCTTATTCATTTATTGAATGCCTACTATATGTAGAACAATGTGTTAAGCACAACAAACAGGGAAAAATAAATTTTGGTATACGTCAAAAGGTTTTCGGGGAAGCAGTCATATCAACATTTTTAATCAGGAGAGTAAAACAGAGTCAGGCCTGCAATTGCCTACAAGTAATTTGGCTCAGGCTATCTGAAAACAACTTTAAAAGATCACAGCGCATCTTTTAACATAACTTCTAATGCGGGAGACATGAGATGAAAAAGGGCCATGACACCTCAGTCTCGGTGACAACAGTCGGTGGACAGGAAAGCCCCTAAGCAGGGTTGGGGGCTGCCCCCTAGCTGCCAGTCCGCAGTCTGGGGCGGGAAAGGGGAGCCACTTACCGCAAAAGGCACCGCTATTGCCGTGGCCCGAAGGGGCCAGGAATTCCTTCGCGAGGCCCCACGCCGTGGGAGGAAACAGAGGGAAGTGGGGATGAGACAGACACGTGCGACCGCACAGCCGACTTCCCAAACTATATAAACGAGGGTCCCAGAACCCAGCACCGCGACGCCAACTCCCACCAGCTGGAAGACCGACGACTGCCACCGAACCTTCCGCCCAATGAGGAAACGTCACCACTCGGCGTAGTCCAGCCTTTCATGTAAAGGAGAGATTTCCGCTTCCGGGGCACCCCTAGCGTTCCTTCTGGGCGTTTACTGAAAGGGGTTTTGATGTTTCTTTGCTTCCACTGGCCTTTGACATTCATTTTCTATCGCTCAACAACTACGGCAACACAGTTTGTAGAACTATAAGAGGCGATCTCAGGAGAGAAGTCCGGCCTCGAAGAACCGCCTTAAGAAAAAGTGACTAAACTGAGCACTACCAGTTGAAAGGGAAAAGATGAGAGATGGGGGTGCGATTAAATGTAGAGATTATCCGGGAGCACGTGAGAACTCCGAGAAGGGGGCGGGGCTTAGGGCTTTTGCAGCCGAGGAAGAAGGGTTCTACCGAGGGTTGGATCAGGTGTCGCTGTCGGCCTCTGCTCGCGCGTGCGCAGGTTGAACCTTCCCCGACGCTGCTTTCTACTCCAATATGGAATTCGGCTCCGCGCGGCAAGCAATACTGCAGCTACTCGGTGCGGTGGCTCCGGCAGACCTCCCAGCGCTGCTGGAGTGGATGCGAACTACCCGTAAGCGACCGGAGCCAGAGGCAGGCGGTTGGGGCAAGGATACTTTGAGGACTTAGGGTGAAGCCAGAACGCCTCCATGGAGTCGCTCTGCAGCTCTCTGCTCTGCTGTGGGGCAGGCTGACCCGGGCACATCTCAAACCTTGGCAGATTCAGAGTCCAGTTTGGCATTTGGTGCAGGAAGATTAGGTGCAAGCTCTGGGTTGTTTGTAGTTGCGCTACAGACTTCAGACGAGCCGCTGAAGCCTCCTTGTGCCTAACCCTTATTGTGAAGGAATGAGGAGAGGGTAGCCCCCCTCGCCCATTACTCTCACAAACTTGTGGCGACCAGTAAGTAGGATACTACTAAAAAAGCACTTTGCGATAGAAGTTTTAGGGTGTAGAGGTGGAAGCTTTCGCCCTGCAGGCAAAATCACCTGTAGATAGTATATTTTCTCAATTATAAAAGGAACCGTCAATTTAAAAGTTTTTCCAAGGTGGGGAGAGAGAAAGAGAAAAGGGGGGAAAAGACTTTGATTTTAAACTGTTAACAAAATTAATAGTAATTAAAAAGCACAAGTTAGAATCACGGAAATGTGGTAAGTAGGTCTAGTTATTGAAGAATGGGATAGATCTATTTTGGCAAAGTGAAGCGTAGTGAAAGCACAAGAAAATTAGATATTCCTTGTTTGAGAACTGTGCCAAACCATGCTATGCCTCTATACCTCTTAATGTTGATTACCGCCTTTATTTTCATCCAGACTCATGACCTGAAATATATCTGGTTGCTCATGACTCCCAAAAGTTTTTTTTTCATTTTTTAAATTAAATTTATTGGGGTAACATTGGTTAATAAAATTATGTTTCAAGTGTACAATTCTATAATACATCATCTGTATATTGCATTGTGTTCACCACCCAAAGTCAAATCTCCTTCATTCACCGTATGTTTGACTCCCCTTTACCCTTTTCTACTCCCCCAACCACTGAATTGTTATTTGTGCCAATGAGTTTTTGTCTCATTTGTTTGTTGCTTTCAGTTTTATATCCCACATCTGAGTGAAATCATGTTATTTCCCTTAGCCAGATAGTCTCAAGATCCATCTATGTTGTTGTAAATGACAGTATTTCATTTTTTCTTATGGCTGAGTAATATTCCCTTGCACATATGTACCATATCTTTATCCAATCATTTATCAAAGGACATTTCAGTTGTTTCCCTGTCTTAGCCACTGTGACTAGTGCTAAGTGAACATAGGGGTACATATAGCTTTATGAATAAATGTTTTCAAATTTTAGGGGTAAATACCCAGAAGAAAGATTGCTGGATCATACAGTAATTCTAGTCCTAATTTTTTGAGGAACCTCCATACTGTTTTCCACAGTGACTGTACCAATTTGCAGTCCCTCCAGTAGTATTTGAGGGTTCCTTTTCCCCACAAACTCTCCAACACTTGTTATTACTTACTTTGTTGATGGTAGACATTCTAACAGGTGTCATGTGGTATCTCATTGTGATTTTGATTTGCTTTTCCCTAATAGCTAGTGAAGATGAGTATCTCTTCATATAGATGTTGGCCATTTGTATGTCTTCTTGGGAGAAGTGTCTCTTCAGTTCCTCTGCCCATTTTTTAATTGGATTGTTTGCTTTTTTGTTGTTGGTTGTATAAGTTCTTTATATATTTTGGATATTAGTCCCTTAATGGGGGCATTGTTTGCAAATATCTTCTCCCATTATCTTGGTTGCCTGTTTGTTTCGTTGATGGTTTCTTTTGCTGTGCAGAAGCTTTTTAGTTTGATATAGTTTCATTCATTTGTTTTTGCTTTTACTTGCTTTCCTTTGAGGTCAAATTCATAAAATCCTTTCTAAGTTTAGTACCTATGTTTTCTTCTACGCATTTTATTCTTTCAGGTGATGATTCCCAATTTTAGACTCAACACTGACTTCTTCCTGGAATTCTCTATGTGATATTAGAGTCAATTAGTAGGTTTAGGTATTATTATTATTATTAT